TTGTCAGGACGGAAATCACGTGCATAGACTAAGTCATCTGTTTTGAATTCGCGAATCTTCGGGCAATTCCATTTATTGTTTTTCTTTGTAGTTCACTCATTTTGTCTTTCGAGATCAAAACATCGAGAAATGTCCTAATTGGTCAGCCAAACATTATATCGGCTAGTGATTTTCTGTCTTGACAGTCTACACTAGGTGTAATTCTATAGAAAATAAGAAGATGTTCCAGAGCCTCTTCTACGTTATTTTTTCCCATCTTCCCGGAGCAAAATCTCCCAAATACCAAACCAATGACAAAGAGAAACCAAAATATCCGGAAAGAATGATATAAACAAACACGTTCAAAGTTTAAGTAAAACAAATACATCCAAAAAGCACAGTAAAATTATTGATGTACAATAAAAAGGTTTTAATCAGCCAAATGTCTGCAGTTCTCCCGTAACACCCATATCAATTCGCAGCTCAACAGGTTTACCATTTAAAAAGTTAGTTACGTATATCCTTTTAGACAAGAACTGAACTAGTCTTGTGGTCAGAACAACATTCGAATTATGTGTTATCTCTTGTGACGTCTGCCTATTGTTTCCTTTACGGAACGTTTGCTGACGGTCGGCAATCTTCGGCCTACTTTTACAACATACTTGAGCATAACCATATTTATCACATTAGAAATAAACTTTTTAAAATGAGGCATTTAAACTTATATGAGGACATTTCCTGTAAACGAAACCACTCACATTCCCAATGTTATAACGCTCGTGTTTACTTCGTCTACGAGTATGGGACGTCAATTAACTTAAACGAATATCTACACTAGGTTTCCTCACAGTGTCTATTCTACAGGACTTCAACACGACTCAGATGATAAAGAACACGTGATTAGCCTGACTAGAACGTAAATTAATTTCTACAGCAAAACTCGACACAATCCAACAACAGTGAACAATCAATCAATCAATCAATAATAATAGTAATATGTATAGGGGAATATATAACTCATCTGTCAGATGAGTGATATATTTAGGAAAAAAATATGCAAATCATATATAGAGTACATATTGGCACAACTTCTTTGCATTGGTTTTACATACTGCATTATTGTTTTAATTCAGTTTTTATTTTAATTGTGATTCGTTTCCTTGCTGTTTTCTCCATTTGAAACCTCTTCTGATAGGCATACCACTCCAATCGCTGCCACGTACTACTTACATCTGTCAGCCTCATTAACATACACCACACTTGTTCCCTCTTTAAACAGTCGCTCTTTCAGTCGTTCTTCTCACAATGCACCTTTACTCCCCTTTCATATTCTGTGCCCCGTTCCTCATCGAAATGTCGATTCCGTAACAGTCCCCACCACGCAGATAATCTAAATGTGATGTCCATCCTGCACTCAAATGTCTCGCGTCTTCTCTCATCTCTCTTCTCAACACTGAGTATCACAAACAACATCATCTCACCAGATCACTCCACTAGACGTCTACTAACTGCAACAGACAACACCAACTTAATACTCATCTCTAGACCCAACAACGGAATCCACAGTACAGCACCATCTCCACCTCATCATTGACAGTGACACTAAATGTTGACAATAAAAACGATAAGAATTTCGTCACAGTTCCATCCAATGAGACGACAATAGAGGATTCTTTATATACATCACGGATCATTCTCGCTCTATCAACAAGTAAATCTAATATATTTACACGGTTCAAAATATCAGTATACGTGGAATCGTCATCATTGTAGTCTGAACAGAGAGAAATGCAGCTCAATTTATTCATCCTAATCAGTAGCGACTAATGTTCAGAAGATTTTTACATTTGTGAGCTCAGCGAATTCGAGATATTGAGATATTCAAAATTTAATATGTATTTATGATTTCTCGTGTTAAACAGGAGTTCACATACGGACTGAACATTCATGGAAGTGAATGTGTTTGTGACTGGCGCATTTCAACGCACAATCAAGATTATTCATTATTTGTTTGATTGGTTTGTGAAACATTTATTGTAAATTCACTGATGTATGGTAGGAATGTGTGTTCTCTTCAAGTTACAATCCATGTCAGTTATGGAAGTGTTGAACATTCAACTAGGCAATAAAAAACACAACATTCCATCTTAATCGATCAATAATTAGTAATGAATTCCATAAACCAATTGCTTTGAATGTTATTGGTTGGTGGATTTAGTGCTATGTAATTTTCTTTCAGAAGGGAATTGAAACTGGAATATTTGTACTACCAACTAGTTTACATCATTTTAGAGTCTTTCATTACACAATCCACACTGCATGGATTATGAGATATTTTGGCATTGAGAAAGTCAATTTTCAAATCCCATCATTGTTCATCATTTAGAGTGAATGATAACATCACTGATTTCTCACTGATTTACATAGAATCAAACGTAACAGAATGAATCAGTATTTCAGTAGTAAGATTCAATACATCATGATAAAATGTAAAACTGTGATGAAATTTCCAAGTAACGATTTCGCTCAACCATCAACTTTACCTCTACATTAAATAAATTGTTCCCTTAAGTAATAAATTATAGTTCTATGTTCAAAATTTAGATTGCATGCAGCTTAGGTAACCTCGACAATGTGCATGCATACATACATACAAATGGTAATTATTAGATGGTATTAGTTGGAATTTAGTTTTACCTTTTTGAATTTGATAAACGGAATGCAGCTATAAGCCATTAAACATGAAAGGTTGGTTAAGCGAAGTCTTCTCTCTTTGTGGAATTCATTTTAAACGCTGTCACTATATCAAACAGAAGTTATTAATCAGTATTATTATCAGAGTGAACATCAACTCTGAGATGTAGGTGCATCCAGTTGACGAGTCCCAAATAGGACTAAACGCGCATCAAACTGGATTCCACTGCTACCCACTATCCCTCTTTGCTTATAAAAGCTTGTGAATTAAAGCAATATCGAGGCATACTCATAGTATGCACACATGCCAATAACAGACTGATCAATTGCAATCATAAACCTCTATGGGAAAATACAAACAAAACAATACTAAGTGAGTATTATTATAATCCTGTAAAATAAGTATACATATTAAGTGGTTTTCACATCTTCAACTATGCTCAACAGATATTGTAACAAAATGTAACAAGTAGAATTTCAAAGAAAAATACACCTATCGTTTTACTTCTAATGCTCAATCAATCCACAATGCTCTCAGTGTTATAGTCAACCAATGGCTTTCCATCATTAAATCATAATGCAACTCTCAATAACCACAACTAGATCGATTTATGATTGCTATTACACCTTCACAATAAACATTCTGAAGAGATGACAAACATCTATCTTGAAATCTAATCAATACCTTATGATAATAATAATAATGATAATCTCCTTTCGATCAAGTACCTTGTATTCGTTGTATGAACACTTCGGATCTGAATGACTGATATACTCTAGTTGAAATATCCTATCGATTGTGTTAAAGAGAATAAACGTTTCACATTTTTTGTTTGTTTTCTTTCGAAATACCTCCCAGTAACAAGTTGATTTAAACAAAGAAAATAATGAAGAAATTCATTATTCAGTTGATAAGAATAGTGTATAATGGTGTACAAATAAGTAAGATCAAATGACAATAGAATGAGTAATGAATAGTCAATGATTCGGTTGTCTGATTGACATTAGGTTCCATTGAATATCTTCTCAACATTTGGTCTCAATAAGACATTTATGCAGAAAGAAAATTGTCACCTTCAAATTTACGTATTCTCATAATTGACATTATCAAGTAGACCGCTTGAATAATCCCGAATGTGAAACATAGATACATGATGATATTTAGATAAGTTTGTGTATATTCAATTATCGCTGATACACATCCCTTTGATGAAATGATGAGAAAAAGTGAATAAAGAATTACAATGAAATGTTTATCATTCATTCAATAAATCTACATGGATAATTGAAATGTGAAGCGTAGTGAAAGTGATTAGACTGTGATGTTGTTGTGAATGAGAATAAGACTGAGAACAATGCAAAACTGTCTTGTCACTTGACAACAATCTATTGTGGTGTCGGTAGAGCAGTTCAGTGAGTTTGAGTTAATGGTTTTGATTTTACCACTAGCCACTTACTAATATGACTGAGTTATAGTGTGCTGATGAGAGGAACAGAAGTGTCAGTAATGACAGCAACTTCAATGGATATATTGTCACCTAATCTTCAAATACTTAACTCTTAAAGATATTCATGTGCGTCATCGAAAACCACGTAATCAGGATGATTGTATTTGCCTAGATGAATAGCATTATGCGATGAATCCTTTATTGGAAATCACTAAGCAACATGTTAACAAATGTTGTTAAAACGCGGTTGAAATTCTACTCAATAAATAAAATTATTCCACATGACAGTTGATTCAACGTGTTCCTAGTGAGTGAGCTGAATATTCAGTATTTGGTTGTAAACCGTAAGTTTATACAAAAGTGAATATTCTATGGGGATTGTTAAAGTGATGAAATCAGGTAGGTTAATTGGTTAAAACTTTGCAAAATTATTGACTTACTTTAGGATATGCGAATCTGTCGTATTTACATGAAGCAGGTGTTAGAATTGACCTATAATTAGTTGGATGTCGATAATCATTTTCCGAGTTTGCTCCACAGCAGTGAAACTATAGAGAAGAATTCATGAGAATTTTGCATTTGATTATAAATTACACTCTTTTGTAATTCATCAAACTCCATTCGATAATCAACTCGTTTCTCATATTGTTTAACAGTAGAACTCAGCGAGCTATTAACTAAATTAAGGAACTATAATAATATGAAGATCAGTGTGTCACGATACATTAAGTTCATTTTATATCAAACAAACCCTGTCCTCCGATAAAGCTACTTTAAATGCCATACCGATCCACATACAAGTCACGATAAACAAAACGACAATGTTCTAAACAGAGATATGAGTGAAATACATTTGTCCATATTGCACATATCACTTACCATATATATGATCACTTTCTGTTTCTTCGAGTGTCCATAAATGCCAACAAATGATCCTAGTACACCGAGACCTCCTGAGATACTGACAACCAGGAAGATCTCTGGTTTCGCATTTTGTAGTATAGTTCTGAATTGATTTAATGTGATTTGTGGTTGAATTCCGAGTGCTAACAGAACAACACCGAACACCTGGATTGTATAAGTAAGATGAAATGAACCACCATATGAGGAGAACACATGTAATGATACTTACTACAAAACTACAATTGCACAGGATGAATACTTTAGTCCAAGATTCACTTGACAATAACATTTCAATATTGTTCACTGAGATGATGATATTGTGTATGCTGTATGAACTGGTAATAAATGTGAGTCAATGTATCTTTCACTTTCAATGTGAATTTTCACAAAATATCAAGTGAATTAGTAAAATTAATTGGGATTCGTCTGAATTAATTTATTCATTGTACTGTGTATTTCTAATAGAAATTCATGCACAACACAAAGTTTACTTACTTAATTCAGAAGCACTAATGAATCACATCATCAACATTATCATTGTCACTATGGTTCGGCTTCATTTTATTATCAAATTCAAAAGTATACAACTTGTCATTATAAGTAGTTAAAATTTGGTTTGATGTATGTTTATGCATTTGTTAGTGGTAATTGTGATGTAGTGAACGAGAACACAAGTGTATTTGAAAAGAAAATTACAAAATATCTTTTGAAAATATCTGATTACCATTAGGTATATACTGCATTTGCAAAATGTCAATTCATTGTCTCAAACTTCACTGTTCCTTCTGCAAATGCCATTCAATCGTCTCAGAATTCATTGTGCTTCAGGTTCCACACTAATCATTCTCTGTTTACACCCTCTTCTGTTTGATCTTCTCAACCTCCTGTTTCAGGTATTTCACTTTCGATTGATAATACATGCTACTCACATCTGTCAACATCACTAATTCACACCTGTTATAGTCACACTTACATTCACATAATCAGATCATGGTCATACAGAGATGACATGAACATTATGAGTGGTTGCATACTCAGTATGTCCAACAGTATTTCCTCAATTATGACAGGTAACTGTTCATTCAATATCATGAGGACATATTTCAAAATAATAAAGACAGTCGATTGACCAAAATAACGTTGAAGAACACAAGCTGTGAATGTACGTAACAATTATTTTGGATATCTGTAATTGTGGCAGTTCAGTTGAGTGAGAGTAAACAGGATGAGATTCATGGGGACTGTTGTATTACATGAACGATGATCAATATAACTGATGTGTGGGCAAGAATGATAATGATTGGTCGGTTATCTGCTAAGTCAAACATGCAGATATAAGCAAAGATGGATAGTGGCTAGCAGTGGAATCCAGGACGCGCGTTTCATCCTGTTTGGGACTCGTCAGTTGGATGTACCTGCATCTCAGAGTTGATGTTCACTCTGGGACTCGAACTCAGTACCATTCGCTTCAAACGCCATCGCGTTATCCACTTAGCTACTGAGTCCTGATAGCCACTTGCTTGTGCAATGGGTTGAAGTTTAATTCACTTGATATTGTTTTACTTGAATCTTCCCATTGATGTTTTTGGATTGAAATTGATCAGTCTCTTATTGGCATATGTGCAGCTGAATGGGTAAGCAGAAAAATTTGTTGATATTCTTAAGCGAACTCTCTTTAAGATGGTAGAAGATAACGTAGAAGAGGCTCTGAAACATATTCTAATTTTCTATAGAATTACACCCGGTGTAGACTGTCAAGACAGAAAATCACCAGCCGATATAATGTTTGGCTGTCCAATTAGGACATTTCTCGATGTTTTGTTCTCGAAAGACAGAATGAGTGGACTACAAAGAAAAACAAGAAATGGAATTGCCCGAAGATTCGCGAATTCAAAACAGATGACTTAGTCTATGCACGTGATTTCCGTCCTGACAAACCAAAATGAACATTTGGGTGTGTAAATAAAAGACGTGAGACGATATTGTATGAGGTGATGGTCGAAAATACACTAATTATTAGACACATGAATGAACTGAGAGATAGAAAAAGTGTGTATGAGTCATCTAAACTCAGTATTATGTGATATATTTAATATGCCACCACTACCACCACAAGTTGAAATGAGAAAAAATCGGTTGAAATCAGGGGCTAGCCGAAGATCATTCACAGAAGGGAAACAAACCAGAGTTTTACAAATAGACCAAAAAAGTGAAATCATACGATCAAACTTTGCGAGGGAGGTGATATGTGGGCAAGAATAATAATGATTGGTTGGTTATCTGCTTATTCAAACATGGAGATAGTTTAACAGGTGTCAGATGAGTCATATATTCCCCTATCCCTATTATTATTATTATTGATTAATTTTTGATTTATAGCAATTATTATCAGAATGTGTTTTGTGGAGATTTTTAGAAATTTTCACAGATTGAACTCATGAGTCAGTTGAAGCTAGACCACCATTGAAAACCTGGAAGCACTGGACGGCCGTTTCGTCCTAGTATGGGACTCCTCAGTGACTGACTTCGGGAGACACTTCTGGAGTTCTAGTGAGAAGTCGTTACCAGTGGAGTTCAACCAGGTCTGTTGTGAGATAGGAACTCACTGAAGACAATGATGTACGGTAGCGCAACTTCGTGGATTGGTTGAAGTTAGACATTAACACCGTTGGATGCCGGCTCAGTGGTCTAATGGTTAAGTGCTCGCGCGCGAAGCCAGTAGGTCCTGGGTTCGAGCCCCGGGTGGTGCGGGGTCGTGGATGCGCACTGCTGACGAGTCTTATAGCAATTAGTCCGTCTGAGAAATTTCGCTAGTGTATAATAAGAAGACGAAGATCATCAGAACTATGTGATGATGATGATGTATTAGCGTAATACATTTCGAACAGTCTCATTAGACACTATATACTTGTTAAGAACATTTATATATAAAAAAAAATAAAAGGTCAACTAGACTGGAAATGGGGTAAGAGGAGACAAGGATAATAATGATAAGAGTAATAATAATAATAATAATGGGAACACAATTTGAAACGTAATCACTCAATATAATAAGTCAATATTACCAGAGTAGGTTTAAGGTAAGAACAAGTTGTTTTTGAATACACAAAGAAGGGTTGAATTTCCGTATGACTAAGGCTTCATTGACTCCACGCATACAATTTCGTTATTGCAAGAACACCGTGTATGAATGAATAACATATTCACAACTAATCCTTCCAAGTATCTGTGGAAGCCAAGTCCTGAGAAATACTGAACATGTTATGTACGATAAAATTTAATACAAATAGTTCCTTTTATCATTTTGAAAAGAGCAAGAACAAACATTCTAGCAGAATAGCATGAATTCATTTTTATTTCGTTGATTCTCGTCAGCTGCTTACAACCTGTGATATTTAAGAATCATAATTAATGGATTTAAATTACTTACATAAAAGAGTTTGATTGGAAGGTATATTGAAGACATGTTCGTATAGTATAGTAACGGTGTAAATAAATTTAATAGACTGAATATTATAAATATATACCATATGTGATGAAAGAACATTCTACAACATTGTTGTGACAACAGTTCAAAGGGTTAGAAACAAATAAACCTTGATAGGAATAAAATGAGTAGAGTTTAGTTGATAAAATAAGATAGTTGGAATAAAACTCAATGGTGTAATAAATGCAAGAAAGAGTTTAAGGAAAAAGAAAAAAATCATTAAGATACAACGAAGGAATATTAATCACCAAGGCAAGGAAAGATCAATAACCATCTCCTTTTGAACACATAAATTAGGATTCTGGTGTCTGATAGCAACTGCCACAGCGAAATTCAGAAGACTGGAGTTTGGCTGTTTACTAATCACCTTGAATGATTGTAGAGTATCGACCTGATGTCCTGTATTAAGATGTTTGGTGACTGCACTATTTAGAGTCTTTCTTTCTCTTGTACTGAGGCTTTTTGGAACATGTTCAAAAGAAATCTGAGATATGCCCTCCTTTCTGTCCGGCCAATGTAGCTGCTTTGGCAGGTACACGTAAATTCATAAATACAATTGGCGGTAACATGAAAAGGATGCTTATCAACCTTTGATTGAGTTATTGAGCATGTTGTCTTATACAGAATTTGAAGTTTGGCCGCCAGATAAGTTCTGGCTAGCGCAGTATTCAGTCTCTGTTGATTGTGTTTGCAACCTCATCATCTTTGAAGTTAAGACTTATAGTTATTGGTTCTTTTTACTGACAGTAAAGATGATGAAAATGAAGTAATACTGAGTGTTAAACGTTTGGTCGGATTCAAAGACAGCCTTGTTGACAGTTTACTGAGGGAAGTATGAACCGTCCTTTGAAACATATATCAAGAATAAAATGGTCGATCGAAGAAAAATGTTAAGGTGATTTCATTCTCAATGGTTGTAGATTATTTTGTTAGACTCCCTTTTGATAACTCGGATAATGATACGACTGAAGCTATAGAGAGAAGCATTAAAGTGTTTTAAAGATCTTCAGGAGAGGAATTGAATTAATAATCAAACATATGATGACTCGAGATCTCGAGGGTACGGATTAACGTACTTAAATGGACTACCATAACTACACAAACCTGAGTCTTTTGTCAGAAATACCCTATCAACGATCAATTATTCATCTCTCAAACTCGTAGGATGTTTAGTGGATCAATTAGAACCCATTCGGTTTAAATCATGTGTTCATAGTTTGAAAGACGCTTCCAAGTTTACTCAGATGCTAGAGAATTTTAACAGCTTTGACCGTTTCATGGTATTATCTGATATATCATCGCTATTACAGCAACCACCTAAAAGAAACACTACAAATTGTCACCATTCTGAAATACTTCCGTTACCGAAAGGCCAATTCAAGGAACTTCCACTGTTATGCACCATAGACGTTCAGTTTCAACTCAACAATATCGTATAGAGTCAGTTTGATGGAGTAGTCATAGGCGGTCTACTGAGTCGGATCCTAATAGTTATCTCCGTGTCAAACATAGAACAAACAGTAATGTGTATCCTCGTCAATATTCTGTCTCTACATGTTCATCTAATTTATTTAGGACATTTGCCGATATAAAGTATATAAACTTATTTTGTTTTACTGATCAATACTATCGGCCTATGCTGCATTGGGAGTAACAGGCGTAAGTAAACAAGCTAGTAAGATCAAAACTATGGTTATCAGTGGTAAACAGCCGAGTGGAATCCACGAAATAACTGAATACATGTTGTTCTGCTACGATGTTTGTTCTATATGTAATCAAGCTTATAAATGGTAGAAACTGTGTGAACATTTTCAAAGTTGTGTGAATGTAAACAAAAACTAAAACTTTTATTGCATATTTGATAAGCGTAACTATGGAAATTCATTAGCCCCACGGCAATTTTTTTAAAAACCCCCCACCCACACTTTTTAAAAATGTTTTTTCAACCCAAAATTGCAATATTTTTCATCCTGTTTCGTCCAATGAAATGGCTAGTTTTAAAGTTCGTTTTTAATTTGTTAGTTACGTTTTGTCGGATTGTTATAAAACATCAGTACTTGTCGACGAAGTACATTTTAATTATCATTATGGAGGAGAGTAACGTGCCTAGTACAAACGCTGTTGTTTCTCACGTAACAG